ACTTATTCCTGCGTCTTTTGGGATCTTACAAAGCTTCAAACGACGCGTCGACTATTAAATTAGTGTCGACGATTTTAATAGTCGACGTAATCGTGACTAGTCGACTAATCGTGGCAGCCCTACAGAGGAGTCAGTGACATTTACACACTTACTCCCAAAAAGTTGATTCTGTTCATCAGGATGTTTTCAGTGGGAGAAACGTTTCATCATCATCAGGTGACTTCGTCAGTTTCCAACCTTATAAACAGCACATCTGCACCACTGACCAACAATGGGCTGTGAAGTAAGTTTATGATCACTAATCATGTTAATGATCATCCTGAATTGTCATGACTACTGATTGATCGGTGACCATCAGTACCATTCATGGGGAGTAGGGATCGGCTGCTACGTCCACATGAACAGAATCAACTTTTTGGGACTTCCTCACCTGGATGATTGAGCATGCATCAAGTCACTTACTTACTGTGTTAATCAGAGTTTTGTGGAGGGTACCCCTCCTACTGAGCGTGCTCAGCAAGTCAGCTGACAGGTGGTGGTGGCAGCCTCACTCTTCCTGTCCAGAGGAGAGAAAATAAAAGTTGTTCAGATTTGAGAGATTTACCCTTGATGAAGACCATCCACTCTGAAATCTGAAACAGCCCGAGGCTCACTGTAAAAATCAGACACTGCAAAACTTCAGATCGTTCGTTCATATCGTTTCTGCTCGCTTCAGACTGGCTCTGAGTTCGGCCTTTGCGCCCGCTCACCCTGAACGAGCTGTGGATTTTGTTAAATGTATCTGAATGCATGAAATGATTTAAAGTGAATCCTCAGACTCCTGCAGCAGCTCTCAAAATGAAAATGATGCACATATTTAACAGAATATTGCTGTAAGTCACAGGTGTCAAACTCCAGTCCTCGAGGGCCGCTGTCCCTGCTGCAACACGCCTGAATGACACAAGTAGGTCATTAGCAAAACCTGACAGGCGCTCATGAATGAACACGATACAATTAAAGTACTTTTAGAAGTACATTTTTCCAAACACTACTTCACTTGAGTGGAGGTGGGGGTTGCCACCTCAGCATGCAGCTCTATAGAGTCTTGTTACTAACGTTATTCAGGTGTGTTGCAGCAGGGACACATGGAAAGGTTTCAGGACACCGGCCCTCGAGGCCTGCAGTTTGACACCCCTGCTCTAAGTCATAATTATAGTAACATCTGGAAACCAAACTCCCAGATTACAGATGCTGTTCATGCTGATGGTGAGAATGAGCCGTGAGGACAGTTGTGAAGAAACCTGCTGGAAGTTTCTAAAAACATCCTGGAAAGTTTTTGATATTTGAAGCTCACATTTCGCAGCACTCATAAACGTTCAAACTCTGGAGCACAAGATGCAGCTAAATCTGAGATGGTCGAGATGTCATCATCGTGGACGCTGCCCAGCCTGTCCAATGGCTGTGGATAATCAATGCTTCTGTCTCATCGCTTCTAACAGCTGATGGAGGGCTTCATCATCTCAGCAACTCTGAGACTCCGGCACTAAGAGCGGAAAACAGCCCCCTGCATAGCTCTCTGGCTGTCCTCACACCTGGTTCAGTACAGATGACGGACACACGATCTGTGATTTTGGGGTCGATCCTTTCTTTGTGTTCCGATATCTGAAAGGAGCCACCGATCAATCAGATATGAAGCTGAACAGATGGTCACGCTTGAGCCAGGAGGTGACAGATTAAAGGAAGCCCCTCCGTGGAGCTTCTCGGTGACCCGTTTGGCCCCTCACATCGGCTCTCTGGATGACCCGAGCGGGACCCCGGGCCCTCACCGGTGCCTCTCACTCCTTCGGCCTGTCCGATCACACAGAACTGATCAGAACATCGATCAGCTCCTCATCACGTGATCGATAGTCCCGCGGATCGATCGCCTGTTTATCGAATAACACGTCAGCTGTTTAGAGTTAGCACGGACCGAGCGGCTAGCATTAGCTCTGTTAGCTCGGTGCGCTCACGCGGAGCCCGTCAGCGGCTCACGCGGATAGAAACGTACTTCCGGCCGTGGCAGCGGGTCCGGTACGGAGAACCGAGCCTTGCGGGAGCGGAGAGAGGTGCGGGTCTTACCGTGTCCGTGAGTGTGCTCGTTAAACGGCAGCAGGACCAAGACTCCACCACAGGAGCGTTATCCAAAACACCGGAACCACCGCGTCATTCCACCAGCCCAACCGGAAGCACTCAGGCTTTATTTTAAAAAAAAACTTTATTCAGAACATCAGATGTTTCATTTCCTTTTAATGTGTTGTCTATTAGAAGTTCTTCCATAAAGGTTTAGTTTAAAATTGATTAAAAAAGAATGCAGCTGTAGTGACGTCATCGCGTAACACCGAGCCACATGGACGTTAAAGGTTTAAATCAGCTGATCTGTGAGCAGCTCCCACGACGGACAGAAACCACACTTAAAAAACGTGTACAGGAGGGGGCAGGGCTCCGCGGATAACCACCTGAGCCTGTTCCATGATCTCATCATTGCATCATGATCTCATCATTGCATCATGATTTTATCAGTGCAGCCCTCTGATCACACCTGTCTGCACCACAAATGCCTCACCTGTCCACTTTTACCTAAGCAGCATCAGTGCAGGCTCTTTGAGAAACTTCAGCCCCCTTACGTTTGTTTGTTTTTGTTTGTTTGTTTTTTTAGGTAGGAAGATCACCTGCCCACACCCAATGACCTCGCACAGCTTAAACATGCATTTCAGTTACAACCAATCAGATCCTCCCACACCTTCCTGCATGCTCAGAGTTTCAGCTCTCATTTTGAAACCAAAGCAGAGGTCAAAGGTTACCTTGTTTCTGTGTTGAATAACCAATCAGAAACTGCATATGGAAAATGTGAAAGATTTTATTGCAAATGTTTACTAGAATAAATTCAAAGTGCAAAACATGATGAAGGTTAGGGGTCAGAGGTCACCAGGCTGCATCCATCAACTGACTTCCACTGAAGAATCTGACTGGACAAAGTCTCCATCTCTGAGGCCTGGACCAGCAGCTGGGCGAGCGAGGTGTCCTGAGAGAGAGAGGTAACAGTAGAGCTGGGATGAACTCTGCAGCCAATCGGAGGATGCTATTCAGTGTGTGAGGGACTGACAAGAAATGACCATGAACAGGGATGTGGCCAAGGGCGGAGCCAAGAGACGAGCCCAGTTAACAATACTAATTTGTTTTTATCAATAAAGCTTGATGCTGCATCGCACAAAGAGTTTTTTCAGTCAAGCCCCGCCTCCCGTCTCTGACCCATTTCTGTACAATACCCCACACTGCTGATGTCAAACCCACCAGACTCCATTCATAAAACATAGTTTTTTAGCTCAAAGAAAACAAACGTTTGCATTCGACTGTGATGATCCAAACTAATGGACTGATTCTTATATAGCGCTTTTCTACTCTCTCGGAGCACTCAAAGCGCTCTATACAACATGCCACATTCACCCAATCACACCCATTCTCACAAGCACTTTATCTATACTTAGTGGAATTTAACTACATTCACACACATTCATACTCCGATGGATGCATCGGAGAGCAACTTGGGGCTGAGTTCAGACCTCAGGGTGACACTAGCTCACCTGTTCTCTCAGGTAAATTTCCTGTTTTTGTGAATGGAGTCTGGTACACACAGATTCTCTCAGGTGTATAAAATGAACGGTGGCACACGGCTTTAGTTTGTCTGCGTACCGCGTGGCCTACTGCCATCCCCAAACCAGTGAGGTCGTGTGACTGACCAGCAGAGCGAGACGGTCTCTGGCTGCGGTCCTGCTGTCGGCAGCGCTTAGCTTCTCCTCCAGAGTCTCAATGAAGTCCATCATCAGCTTCAGGGACTCCACCACGAACCTGAAACACACCACAGACCGTTACAGAGTGCCACAGACCACTTTAATCACACTGAGCATCAGGCATTACCTGTGCAGGTGAGCGTGCACGGGCAGGTTGGTGCAAGCCAGCGGCTTCATGAGTCGCTGCCTCAGACTGTTCTGCTCTCTCAGCAGTTCCTGCATATGATCCCCGAGCATCTGCAGCATCTGGAACCTCCGAGCTGCAGGACACAAAAGCACCTGATCAGAGGGGGCGTGGCTCGGAATAAGGTCTGGAGCGAAGGTTGGTTTAAAAACATCGACCCCTCGAATGTGATGATGACGTCACCTGGACTCACCGAGGTGGAAGCTGTGGGCGACATCGGCGCTTTGCTCGTCGACCTGCAGCAGCTCCAGCCGCAGCCGCATCTGCACGAACAGGAAGCAAACACCTTTACGTTAGCTGACACAGTCACATGACTTCTAGCCCCGGTGCAGTCACTGTCTTTTAACACAGCTCCTGCAGCTAAAGATGTTTCATTCACGCAACAGCATCTCATTCACCTGACCGGACCCACAGCGAGCGCACACCTGTCACCGCCCGTAGGCGACGCGCTTAAGACGTCAGTGCTCAAATCCGAGTTTCTGCGACGGGAAGCGTTTGGTGAGACGTGTTCATAAATGACACACCGAGCACGCCAACGTACAAAACAGGAATCTATTAATAAAGCGATACTGCTGCTGTGGAGACGCTAGCATAGACCCGCTGTGACCCACAGGACTGGTTACAGGATACAAAACTAGCTACTGGTTTCATTAACCTGTGAATGAGTCTGAAAGCTGCAGAAATGTAGGATTAGTTACAAACTTACAGCGGGTTAGAGGACTAGTTAGTAATTAGTGTGGATGCTGATTAAGCATCCACGGTATTGTTCTTCTACTTTTCATCTTCCGTACCATTTTTTGCCGTCTATCTCCTTCACGCCGCTCAACTTAGAAAAACCATTCAACCACCATGTGTGCTTGTATTTTTCTCATCTTTAACATTTATATTTTTTTAATTATTCAACTTTATTTAACAAAAGTTTACTATTTATCTATTATTTACTATTTATTACTATTTATCTATTTCAATGCGAGAATCTTCAAATTCTCATTCAACTTACTCTTCTTCCAACTCTTACTTTCACATACGTTGACCTGGAGCCACCATTCAAACTTTAAAATGAACCCACGAAGCTGCTCCGTGGAGGTCTGCCTTCAAAAACATGACGACTGTGCTCATTATCAGCAATAGGCCCACATCAGAGGCTGTCTCTCACGTGACAGAGCGCGACAGACTGCAGTCAGCTTAGAGCGGATGATGTCATCGCTCAGGAATGACATCATTCACTCTGAGCTGCAGGCAGGAGAGCAAAACAATGTTTTTCCTGAGAAAATTAAAAAATCCGATCTGGGCAACATCCGGCTCAGGCATCGAAGCAGGCGGGGCTCTGCACTCTGACACAACGTCCCAGCACGCCATCCCCGAGACAGCTGCACGCACATACCTCATCCAACTGCTTCTGCATTCTGATTTGGTCTTCAGCCTCCTGCAGATGAGAGGAAAAGACGGGGCCTGTAGCATTGGAGGCGGAGTCTATTTCCTCCTGAGGACAGGTGAGACAGATTCAGATTTTACTCACAAGCTTTAGTCTGGATCAGAACCGGATCACACAGGTCAACTCTCACTCAGATCTGAACCTGTCCTCAGACACCTGTGAACCGTGTAAAGCTGCTCTGACAGACCGCCTCAGCCTCCTGAACACTTGTTCGTGTCCTTACCTGAGACAGCGCTCCCACGGAGACACACTTAGAAAGCAGGCTGGCAGCTGGAGTCACGGAGAACGGAGACAAATCCCACTGATGCATCTGAAAGACAGGAACGTCACCTGAACCAGACCAGCCTCTGATATTCACCTGGACCAGGTGTTCAAACCTGAAACCGGATCTATCCGAACCAGACCCCTGTTGGGTTCCAGCTCACAGCTCTGCGTGTGAAGGCAAGCGCCATCAAACTAAATCTCCACATTTTTAAACGGACTTTGAAGCAGCTTTAAAGGCTTTTTTAACGGACACACCGGCACCGTTCAGCTGCCTCCGGCGGTCGGTTAAACACGAACAGTCTAGTGTCGGTTTCCAGCTTTTTCTTACCGTTAAACCCGAAGAACCTCCGCTCTAAACCGACCAAACCGAACCTCGCCGCTGCCCGCCCGACGGTTTGTTTTTGCTGTTTCTCTTCTTCAGCGAAAACGTTTGGCGGCTGCTGACCGCAACAGCGACCCCTCAGGATCCAGAGAGAACTACAACACACAGTTACAGAAAAAAACCGCGTTTCTGTTTGTGTACAAACAACTAACGTCTCTTTCTGCCTAATCCTGGACCAAAATCTGACGTAACACCCTGCTGAGGTCAAATGACAAGAAGAAAGTCGTTCAGGGTTTCAGTGACGTCTGTCACCAGGTGGCAGCGTTGCAGCCCTGAGCGGGATTTTCACTAGAGAAGAAGAAGCAGGAGCGCAGAGTCAGGGCGGCTGCCGAGCTTCACTTTTCTACTGATCTTTATTTTTTGTCCTTTTATCGGATAAATTTAAGCACAGCACCTGGACACGCGACACTTGCACACTGGGGTCAAAGGGCGACATTGTGTCGGTATGTAAACAGAGCCGTTTCCGGTTATCTCAACTGTTAGCAGGGTGGCGGTGGCATCAATGTTTACAGTGTGTTTACAGTGAGGAGAGACTGGGGCCGATTAGGCTGCTTACGGTGAGTGTGTCACCTCTCGGGTCTCAGGTGAACACGTGACTCACCTTTACCTCCTGTGACAGCTGAAGGGTGAGCGTTAGCCTGCTGCAGAGAGACAGGTGTGTGAGTGTGTGTGTGCATCAGGCTGCCCCGCTGCAAGAAATTGACCACCTTAAATACCTCTTAAAGTCCACCTTAAAGCTGAAGCCCCTCTCTGCTGCCACAGCATTGATCTGGAACGCCTCAGTTTGGGGGATTTGGCGGCCCCTGTGGTGACCGTGGTGAACTGCAGGTGTGTTTAACACTACAGAGGAGGGTTTCCCACAGGTGCGTTTACTGAGCTCAGGCACTAATGCATTTCACACATTACTGGGGTGTGCTGTAGAAAGCCAATGATAAGTCCGGGTTCTTCCCTCACACTCAGTATTGACAAAGCTGGGTCAGGACCACTGATGTCAAATTGGGATAAAGTGGCAAATTTAGAAGATTAATGTTGTAAATTTAGGGAAGCCTGCCTGTCAGTCAGTGTGGTGCTTGATGAAATGCAGTTCGATGCTAATGGTTTGTATGTTAGTTAGCTGAGGATTATTAACGTGAATGAGTTATTGCAGGCCTTTAAACACCTTTAATCCACAGGGAGTGTTTGATCTGCTCACCTGTGCATCAACATGGGAAAAGGTTTAAATCCTACGCCGCCCAGCACAGGTGGATATTGATACTGTTTCCCTCAGCTCAGGTCACGACGGGTCGCTTAGAGAAAAGAATCAGGGTTTTCAAGCCAAACTCGGAGCCTTACGTTGGCACGATGCTGCGGGACGTGGAGACAAAGCACGTCTGTGAGCTCATCGGCACATGCAGAGCTTTTCTCTGAATATTCACTTTGTTCTCCAGTCAGAGTGAAACATCTGCACGCCGCCTCTGTTCAGATCTCACTAATAAACACAAACATGTTCACAGGTCTGTGAGCGAGGACACCTGAGAGACTGTTCACCTGCAGGGATTCACTGTCTGACCTCATCGATACCTGCTGACGAGGAGCGCTGATACGGCTGTCAGCTGATCCATCAGCCTGTCTGGAAGGACTTCGGGCTGGTACCTGGCTGCGGGTGCAGATGGGGAACAGCGCACTGAAGTCTCACCTGGAAACCTCCCAGAAGACGGGAGTGTTTCAGCTGACGGGGAAAGGTCTGCAGGAGGTGAGTGACTCACACGTGCACAGAAAGATTTAAACACTCGTTTGATGCGTCGGACGTTTCAGTCCGGGCAGCCTGTGATTGGACAGTTCTCCTTTCAGTTCAGAGCCTTTACTGTCATTGCAGGAAACTGCAGTGGTATCACCGGGATGCAGAACAAACACACACGTGTTCACACATGTATAAAAATGAATAAATCAGCAGGCGATCGCCTTTTCTACACCTGCCCAGGTGGTGTTTATCTGCGATCTGCTGAAGGGGCGGGAGCTGGGTTTCTGAGCTGCTTTCTGGCACCTCCTCATTTGTTTTTGTCTAAATCACAAAGCAAAAAACACACAATGACAAAAAACCCACACATAACTGGAGAGCTCAAAGCTGCAGCATGTAGGCGTACACTCGCCACCGTTAGCGTGTGACACCCCAGGGCCTGATCATAGCTTAACCTATCCAAAACAGAGCGTCCCGAGCCGCCTGTCCCGCTTGTCCTGAGTCGCCTGTCCTGGTCTCGGTGTGCTTTCAGTTTCCAGAGGAGCTGCAGAGGCTCACGGCCAACCTGAGGACGGTGGATCTGTCCGGGAACAAGATCGAGGTCCTTCCTGCCACTATCGGGAACTTCCCCCAGCTCAAGAGTCTGACGTTGAACTCTAACCGGCTCGGTGAGTGTTCGACCCGCAGCAGTTATACCTTTACACCCGTGTTTTAAAGCAAAAAGCAAATCAGCATTTGATTTGTTCTCTTTGGATGCTTTTTTAGTTTAATTTAGGGTTGGAATGATTTAAAAGTCCCCAGATTGTGTCTTTAGATCTGGTTTAGCTGCAGAACAAACCGGATCCACCCGATGCTCAGACCTGTGAGACCCTGTTGTGGTTCTGTTTTCAGCTGGGATTCCCTCTGAGATCGGGAAGCTGAAGAAGCTGGAGACCCTGAGTCTGAATGGAAACCGGATCCAGCAGCTGCCCCCCACTGTGGGCCAGCTCAAAGCCCTGCGGACCCTCAGCCTGGCCGGGAACCAGATTTCAGAGTTCCCCTCCGGACTCGGAACGTTGAGGCAGCTGGACTTGCTGGATCTGTCCCGAAACAAGATCCAGAACGTCCCTGCAGAGGTGTCCGAGCTGCAGGCCATCGAGATCAACCTCAACCAGAACCAGGTCTGTAAGTCCACCAAAGAACCAGGAGGAAAGTCTGGAAGGGCTGACCCTGTGCTGTTAACTCAGCCAGTATTAAAGATCAGGTTTACTTATAAAGCACCACAACAGCAGTTCTCCAAAAGTGCTTAATCAATCAATTATCAATAATTACTGATCGGTCACTCCATGACGTCTCCCACAGCTTTCTATCCCACAGACTTCCAAGGAGGTTCTGATAATCCCAGCCCGGGTCTGGTGTTGTTCCTCTGTACTAACCCGGTCCTCTGTCCTCGGTCCAGATCTCGGTGGTGTCGGCGGAGGTCTCCCGCTGTCCCCGTCTGAAGGTCCTGCGCCTGGAGGAGAACTGCCTGGAGCTCTCCTCCATCCCTCAGTCCATCCTGAACGAGTCCCAGGTGTCCCTGTTCTCGGTGGAGGGAAACCTGTTTGAGGTGAAGAACCTCCGGGACCTGGAGGGCTACGATAAGGTCAGTGCTGCAGTCTGAGACCAGATCGAGTCCAAGACTGCGAGTCCTCCTGCGGTCCCTGATGACGCTCTGTGTTTCCTCCTCAGTACATGGAGCGTTTCACGGCCACAAAGAAGAAGTTTGCCTGAGGACCCTGATGCAGAGTCTGGATCTGTGAGGTTCACCTGGAGGTGGGCTCGGCTGAAGCTCCGCCCCTCTTACCCCTGCACTTCCCACAGCTTCTGCTGCTGCTAGAAACCAGACTACAGCAGCCGGGACTCCTCACAGCGCCCCCCAGAAATCCGAACCTCCACAGCAACGGTCACCATGGAGACAGGTTTCACGACACTGAAGAAGAGGACCGGTGCCATGTTTGACTGCATCAAACTTTATTGTTCACTCAGTCATGGACAGAGAAAACAGTGGAAATGTTTAGTTAACCTTGTAGAAACATGCTTTGTAAAATGTCAGCAGCCTGTTGATTGATTATTAATTATTAACAGCTATTAAAGCTTTTAAAGACGTTTAAAACAACGTGTGTGAAGAGTTAACAGCTGGAAGTTTCCAGATGTTTTCTGTCTGATTAGCCGTTTCCTCAGCTGTAATCAATATAAACTACTAATGAAGGACCTGATCAGATGATCAATAATAAACAGAATGATCCTTTCATGTTAACAGGCCCAGCTGATCTGACAGTAATGGAAAAGTCAGTAAAGTTTGATTTTTGAGGTGCGTGGCAGGAAGTTAAGTCTTCTTCTTCTGTCCATTTAAATGCTGAAGCCCAACGCAGAAGGCCGTTAATCCCTCTGTGGTTTAAGCTCCGCCCTAATGACGGCTCAGCCGGCGGTGCCAGCCGTCAGATGAACGTCTCTCGTCCATCTTTAGGAAGCAGTCAGAAACGTCTCTTTTCCTGAGTGCTGATTGGTTCTCCTTCCCGCCACACGCCCGGGTTCACCTGAGAACATTCTTTGGTAAAGAAACACCTTTTATTATTACTGATGGAGAATTTCACTTCCTTTCAATAAAAACTCAGTTAAAGGGTGACGTCCCACCAAGCGTGCGAGCTCACGAAGCGCGAGCAATACGCCGGAAAGGGATCCCAAACGTGTCTGCGCCGTTAAAGAGAACGGGCGTGTCCTGCAACAGAAACTGTGCTTGCAGACGTCATCAATCACACGGCTCTCCCGTCCCTCCACATCCTGCTGGGCTGAGCTCCGTGACTGCGGGGCATCTGAGCTTTGACACGTCAGAGGATGAGATGGGCAGGCTGCGTCCCAATCCAGCGACCGCAGCGCTTCCTAGCACGCGCACTTCGCGGACTACGTACGGCGCGTACTACGAAGTGCGGAAGTGAGAGGCTTGTGAAACGGGTCTGGCCTTCGTCGCACTGCCCAGGTTGCCTAGCAACCACGATACTAACAGCTGGAAACGTGTCATACAGCTTTGTGTGACAGAAATGAAGCAGAACAAAATGTTTTGTTGTTCGTTTATGTTTTATGACATCACTGTGATTAGCTGAGTATCTGAGGCTGAGACCACAGGACTGTAAACATGATTGTTGGGCTTCATTTCTGTGCTGAACAGTCATTTAAGATTAGCTAGTAAATAACAATTTACTATGTAACTGCTAAAACTGCAGTTACATGCTGCAGTTAGCAGCTTGGACCAGCTGTCGACGACAGAGGGAGGCCTGGTCCAAACCAAAGAGTTGCGGTAGTCCAGTCTGCACGTAATGCAGAGACGAATAACATGTTCAAAGACATTGGCTGGAAGGTGTGGCTTAACCTTGGCCAGCTGCCTTCGATGAATAACGCTGGATTGGACTGCTGCGCTCACCTGCCCACACAGTTTGAAGGAAGCATCAAGGTGCACACCAAGGTTTCTAACATTTGTCTGACGGTAGCAGGAGAATGGGCCCAGAGCACTGTCACTGTGATTATTAACGAAGTTACCCAAAATGACAACTTCTGTTTTGTTTTCATTTAATTTTAAAACATTTAAAGACATGCAGGCAGCGTAATAATAGCTGAAGTTGGTCTGTCCCTGCTTTTAAAGGCAGACAGATCTGCAAGTCATCTGCAAAACAGTGCAATGAAAGGTTGTAGCATGAGAAAAGCACCTGTGATCTCTGATGAAGGGCCGGGGTTACCCGAAGCAGCAGCAGGACCGAGTCTTGGAATCAAACTACCAACCAAGATTACAACAGGACTGTGTGAGGTGCTCAGGTTCAAACTTCAGGCCTGATGCCGCTGTGCCGCACGCAGGTGTGCCGCACGCAGGTGTGCCGCACGCAGGTGTGCCGCACGCAGGTGTGCCGCACGCAGGTGTGCCTCAGTTTCACAGCAGCCAACCAGGAGCAGGTGGTAAAACAAAGCCCTCCAAAATAAAAGTTTCTAAACACTGGACCGGAGTTCAACTCGCGCTCTCACATACTGTTACTATGACAACAGTAGTCCATTACTCATGGCCCCGGCCTCCACATCCTCTGGCTTCCTGACATTCTTCATACACTTCCTCCAGGAAACAGGAAGCATCTGAGTCACCATAACAACAATCAACCCCCAGTGTGTGTGTGTGTGTGTGTGTGTGTGTGTGTGTGCGTGTGTGTGTGCGTGCGTGTGTGTGCGCGCTG